AGTCTCTTCCGAGCTCAGGAGAGAAGTGACTTTCTTGAAACCAAGTGACACAGACAAACAAAGGCCTTGGTGTAAGAGTGTAAGGTGTCTTCCCAGTTTTCACAGAAATATTTCCTGCACACGTTTCACAAAACTCCGTTGTGAACAGGATTTGACTCTTTCTATGCATGGTAAAAATGCAACTGATGTCTAAACAAGGATATCAAAGGAATCTTTCAGTATCGTCCAAAAGCAAACGAGGTGTCTTGACCACGTGTGCTGGGTCTGGCTGGCAGGGAGCTCATTTTCTTCCTAGAAGCCCATATGGTGCTGTGCTTTGCACCTGGGGTTGAGGCTGTATTGATAACACACCAGTGCCTTGGCCATTGCTGAGCACTGGCTGCACAGCCTTGAGGTTTCTCTCACCCTCTCCCTCCCCGTCCCCCCAGCAAATAGGTCAGGTGAGGGCAAGAAGCTGGGAGGGCACACAACCCGGGCAGCTGACCTGAACTAACCAAAGGGATATTCCGCCCCATATGAAGTCGTGCTCAGCAATAAAAGCTCAGGGAAAGGAGGAAGGGGGAACTTTCAGGGATATTACCTTTGCCTTCCCAAGTAACCGTGACCATGTGCTGAGAACCTGCTTGCCAGGAAGGGGCTGGGCATCTGCCTGCCGATGGGAAGTGGTGAATGAATTCCTTATTTTGCTTTGCTCACGCATAGAGCTTTGCTTCCCTGATTGAGCTGCTTTTATCTTGATCCACATGTTTTCTTTCCCTTTTTCCCTTCTGATTCTCTCCTGCATCCTGCTGGGGGAGGGGATGAACGGGTGACAGTGTAGGTGCTTAGCTGCCGGCTGGGGCCAAGCCAACACACCATGCAAATAGCTGTGCATTGATTCAGTTACATGACAGAGAGACTTAAATGGCCCACAATATTCTAGTGACAAACAACTTCTGTGAATTTTATAACATCTCTAAGAAAAATAAAGAAACGAAACCCTTTTATTTCAGCAGCAATTCATGACTTAAATGTAAAGCCCAGTTTGAGATACCGAATTAACTGATACTCAGGAAAATGCTAGTAAAAAAGTGCTAGTGGAAAAAAAGCCTGATGTGGGGTGGATGAGCAGGCAGGGTCCTCGACTGAAACACCCCAGAGGATCCCGATCAGTGGCACAAAGTCTGCTTGGAGACCGGTGACCAGGGGTGTAGCCCAGGGGTCAATACTGCATCCTGCCCTGTTCAGCATCTTCATTAATGATCTCAATGATGGGGCAGAGTGCACCCTCCGCAAGTTTGCAGCTAACACCAAACTGGGAGGTGTAGCTGATACACCATGGTCATGGATGGTCATGCTGCCATCCAGAGGGACCTCAACGGGCTGGAAAAATGGGCTGACAGGAACCTCGTGTAGTTCAGCAAGGAGTAGTGCAAAGTCCTGCCCTGGGGAGGAACAACTCCGGGCACCAGCAGACGCTGGGGGCCACCCAGCTGCAAAGCGGCTTGGCAGAAAGAGACCTTGGGGTCCTGGTGGACACCAAGTTGAACAAGACACAGCAATGTGCCCCTGCCACAAAGAGGGCTAATGGTATCCTCGGTTGCATTAGGAGGGGTGTTGCCGGCAGGTGGAGGGAGGTGATCCTTCCCCTCTCCTCAGCACTGGAGAGGCCACACCTGCAGTTCTGGGCTCCTCGGTACATGAACATACAGGAGAGAGTCCAGGGAAGGGCCACACAGGTGATGAAGGGATTGGAGCATCTCTCCCAGGAGGCAAGGCTGAGAGAGGGGGGACCGTTCAGCCTAGAGAAGAGAAGGCTTGCGGGGGCTCTTATCGATGTATATCAGTTCCCGAAGGGAGGGTGCAAAGAGGACAGAGCCAGGCTCTTGCCAGTGGTGCCGGTGACAGGACAGGAGGCAATGGGCCCAAAGTGAAACACAGGAGGTTCCCCCTGAACATCAGGAAACACTTTATTACTGTGAGGGTGACCAAGCACTGGTACAAGTTGCCCAGAGGGGCTTTGGAGCCTCTGTCCTTGGAGATATTCAAAAGCCATCTAGGTTGACCCTGGCTGGCTGCCAGGTGCCTACCAAGCCGCTCTGTCACTCTCCTTCCTCAACAAAACCCAAACCCAAAGAATATCAGGAAAAAGATAGTAAGTTTTCAGGAAAAGTCACCTTCCATAGGAAGTGTTTATTCCATATGACCATGAAAGAACATTTGTTTTTCTTGAGCACCTAAAATTTCCCTCCAAAGCTTTTTCATTCTGATGCATAGTTAAAAAAAATTCAGAGCTGGCCACTAAGGTAGATCCCTCCTCTCCTTGCTTAGCTTTGTTCAGGAGACACACACTAGGCAGCAGCCCAACAACACCTCAGTCTGATCCCTGGCTGTACATTATAGACCTTCACGATGTGGAGTGAACTCTTCATCATCAGCAAACCCCTGCACTACCCTTAGAGGTTCAGTGCCAGGCTTTGCAGCAGCAGGGCCTGTTGAGAAGAAGGGAATGAATTTCCCTCCCTGGCTGCTGCCATCAGAAATGGTAAAAGTGTACAGAGCTGTTTTCTTCTGGACGTTGTAAAATGACAGCTGCTTGGCTGAGATGTCCAGGAAGATCCCAATCATTGGCAGCTTCCCACTCACGCTCAAACAGGTCCAAGGCTCTGTGTGGGCCCAATACTCTCGCCCATTGGCAAACCCTATGACCCAGAAGCCATTCTTAGGGGACAGAGTCACTGTCCCTTTGCGAGTCACAGATTCCCGGGCAATACCCAAGGCCCAGCTTCTTCTCTTGCCAACATCTACTTCCCAGTAGTGTCTCCCAGATGTGTATCCTTCCTTTGCCAGCACAAAAATGTGGGAATCAAATCTCTTCTCCTTGCTGGGCACCTTTCTGATGGTGCCAGTGTCTTTCACACTCTTCCCATCGTCAGAGATTTCCAGTCTGGGGTGAGCCGTGTCAGCATCCAGGGTGACATCAACTGCAATAATCAAGTCATACCATAGGGAGCAGAAAATACAAGGTCTGCTTTTCTGAGGCTTTCTCTTCTGTGTCCTCATCCCTCTCTTAGATCTCCTTCCTACATCTCCATGCTCTGGTGCACTAGGCAGCATCTTGCCTCAGGGGACCTCTAGCTTCTCCCCTCCCATACCTCTCATGTCCCTCCATGCCCATCCTTGGGCTGCTGACCAAGACAGCAGTCAGCCTGCATGGATCAAATGCAAGGCACTT